GCAGATTACACCTTTAACTTTATTCAAGTGCAATGTGATTATAATATAAAGTTCTGATTGTGCTTCATTGTACACTTTATTACTCGGTTTTTTTGTTGCTGTTTTTTTTAATGAATTTATTAATGAAATTATTTAAAAAGGGCAGAAAAAATTTGAAATACACATCTAAATTAAATGACTGAACGGAAAAAAAATTTTTTATAAAAGAAGTAATGTAGGAAATATGCTTCAAAAGACTGGGGAAAAAAATCTGTCAATGACTTGCTGACGTGCACGAAAACCGGCCATGTATTGGACCCGGAAATAACGTCTCGCTCTCTCTCTCTCTCTCTCTCTATATATAAAGTATATTATATATTATTATGTAAAGTATAATTTTATATGTATAATAAAATATAATGATATTGTATTATATTATATTCTATTATAATATTTATTATATCCGAGTTGTCTGGATCGCAGCATTAGGTTAACATTTCAATAAACAAGCGTATACTACAATTACGAGACATTCTATAAGGTGACATTTCAGCACTTGACAAACGGATAGCGACTCCTAAGTAGCACTTGAAGCACGGCTACGTGCGATTGTGTTAAGTGCATTTTTGGGAAACGCACGTGAAACAATAACGAACGATCGTAAAATGTTCGATGACTGAATTCCGCGAATTCTCTCATAATAAACAACAAAGCGCAGATGTACGTACAATGTAAGTAATGGATTCATTTCGCAGTGTAGACAGTTTCAGTGATTATAACGATACTTTTGTTTTTTTTTTGAGAGTGCGAAAGATCAAAGTTAATGATAATGTCATTTCTGTACATAATTTATTCTCCGTTTAAATAACCGTGGGAAGGAAACGTTATAGGCCTATAATTATCCATTTCTAATGTTTTAATTAAATTGTAATCACATTAAATGCAAATTCAGTCCCATTAAACATATTTTATTAGCCTACATGACACCCATGTCTGGTTCTTGCCTAAAAAGACAGGTTTATGATGTTTGTAGTTAATAGATGTGGCTGCTTTTAGCCTTACCCTGGAGTTGGTTCACCCTCCGCCTATGCCTGTAGGCCTGTCTGCAGTGGAGAATAATTACGCAATATCGCACGAACTAAAGTGCAATTGCACAGCTGTGATTTGGCCGCAGGTGATTTTATTATTTAAATGTCTTAGGCAATTGTAAAGCGGCGTTTTAGTGTCACGTTAAAAAATAAATTCAATCTAAATTTAAGAGATTAAACTCGTAATTTTTTGAGAAAAAAAGTCAAAATTATACGAGAATAAAGTCGAAATATTTTGAGAATTAAATCGAAATTACGAGAATAAAGTCGAAATATTTTGAGAATTAAATCGAAATTACGAGAATAAAGTTGAAATATTTTGAGAATTAAATCGAAATTACGAGAATAAAGTCAAAATTTCGAGAATTAAGTCGAGTTTAAAGTTACAATATTTTGAGAGTAGGCTATTTATAGCGCATGCAAATGGCCCGGATCGGGAGCACCAGGAGAAATTGGCCTGGCAACTGACTTGAATATATGTGGGATTATTAGCAGAAATCATATGTGTCATATAGCCTACTCGCAGGACAGTAGCCTAGCCTATTCTTGGAAATAATACATATCTTTGAATGCATTCATTATAGTGCGCCAGCCACCCAATAGGCCTATGCTTTGTGCTTTTGGTAGCCTACTTTTAATATAAAACAAAGTCTCAGCCTTTAAATTCTGTAAGTTTTAAAGCGAAATACAAACAATATGTCTTTACAATAATGTGTTTTTCACGCTCTTTAACGTGGCGTTACAGATCGCTGTATTCGCCCCATGTTTAAGCGGCATGGGAATTAATCATCTTTTCATTATAATGAGACATTCGTTTCATTAAATGATACTGTTTTCTTTGTAAAAAAAAATCCGTCACCTACTCCGCAAAAAAAGTCTGTGGCGTCCAACCTTTCATTCCTCACATATAGGCCTATATATAAGCAATAGCAATAATTTCAGTCTCGGTTAGTTAAAAACAGCAAAAAAAAAAAAAAAAGTAACGAAATTCACCTTGTTATTTTAAGTTATTGTTGTCTTTTCTGAGGTAAATAACGTTTAACGTTAAGTGACGATTCACAAACTGTTTTATTCATGGTATAATAAATGATTGGAAATTATAGTTCATGCCTTTAAATCCATTCATAATTTGTAGCGCGCAGTCACCCAGTAGTAATCGCTCATAAGCTTTGTTGCTTTTAATATAACACAGCTGAGCTTAATTCTGTCAGTTTTATCACTAAATACAAATTATAAATGAGTTTCTCCTCTTTATTACAAGTTGTAGCATGATGAGGGAACATCAGAAGGCATGAAAAAATAGGCTAGTAGGCTATAATTTAATGGAACGAATGTCTCGAAAAGATGATTAATTCACATGCCGCTTAAACATGGGGCGAATACAGCGATGTCGCACCACATTAAAGTGCGTGAAAAACACATTATTGTAAGACATATTGTTTGTATTTTGCTATAAAAATGACAGAATTTGAAAGCTGAAACTTTGTTTTATATTAAAAGTACCAAAATCACAAAGCTTAATGCTATTTTTGGGTGGCTGGCGCACTACAAACAATGAATGCATTCGAAGATGTGCAATGGGCTATTATTTCCAAGCATATAGGCTACTGTCCCTGCAAGTATATGACACATGGTAGGCTATGATTTCTGCTAATAATCACGTATATTCAAATCAGGGCCATTTGCATGCATGCGCAAGGCTACTCTCAAAATTGCTATGACTTGATTCTCGTAATTTTGACTTTATTCTCAAAATATTTCGACTTTATTCTCGTAATTTCTATCTTATTCTCAAAATATTTTGACTTTATTTTCGTATTGAATTTATTCTCGTAATTTTGACTTCATTCTCAAAATATTACTACTTTTTTATCTCGTAATCTTAGATTTTTTTTAACGTGGCACTAAAACGCCGTCGTATAAAACAGTTATAGTCTATAAACAAGAATTTAACAAAGTAATTAAAAAATGTATTTTTGATTTTTCTCTACTAACGAAAAAGCAGAATCAAAGTGCCAAACAACGCAACAATGGCTGACTGCTTGAATGGACCGCGGAGAGATACAATCAGTGAAACGTCCTACTTCTGTTATAAGGAATCTCAACGCTGGCACACCGCCTGTACAATCATATATTATTATTAAACTATTGTTATTATTATTATTATTACAATATTCTGTGGTATAAAGTAAAATAGAGTCTTCATGTCAAATTATGTGTTGGAGCAGGGACGTAGCCATCATTTCAGAAGTGAGGGGGACAGAAATATCAAGAAATAACCATACATTTTTATTCTATAAGATTTTTTTCCTATGTTTTCCTAATGACAATTTTAAGATATGACTAGAAATTTTTTTTCCATTTTTATCACATATAATATATATTAATATATATTTATATATAATATATATATGTTTAGTTTCTATGCTAGTTTCTTATAAATGATAGCCTATGTCAATTAGCACTGCATTATTCATATACTTTATTTATTTATTATCTGGAGAAGACAAACACATATGAACCATATATTACAGAGGGTAGTCTGGACTGCTGAGCGAATCATTGGTACAACCCTCCCTTCTCTCCAAGAAATGTACTTATCCAGAGTGAGCAAAAGGGCTGGCAGAATCACTCTGGACCCCTCACATCCAGCACACTCCCTCTTTGAACTGTTGTCATCTGGTCGACGCTACAGAGCACTGAGCACCAGAACGGCCAGACACAGGAACAGTTTCTTCCCTCAGGCCA